TATAGCAAGCGCTGTTGATTCGAGAACGGAAGTAGTATACGCCTTAGTTAAAAAAAAAAAAGACAAAATTCTATCGCCCAATGCGTTGCATCATAATTAGAACTAACATTAGCCTTGTACGCGATAATCTATTATAATAACAATAATAATAACTACGATACAAATAGGTGGCGTGCGAGAGGACAGGCAGGTGATTTTTTCAAAGAAAGGATAGGCTGGATATCTCATGCATTTCCCAACGACGTTAAAAGCCAAGCAAGATCTTGCAAACAGGAACGTCTATGCACTTGTGTAAACTTTAGTTTCAAGTGCGATCTAAAACTATCTTCTACTATCTAGCAGAGGCTCCTTAAAAGCGTCCTTATTTACCCACGATTGCTTTCAAAGCAGTCGTGATAGCAGCAAGTGCTTCCAGGAAGATGTCACCTTAAGTACAGGCCTGTTTATTGGACCTAGAATCTTTGTTGAGACGGGTATACATCAAGAACGAGCAGCTATTTCTGAAAGAACTTACTACGACGTTATGTTGATACACACGTGTCTATACTTAAAGAAGGACTCTTTTGGCTCTGTTATGCCGACTAACTATTAGATTTACCATGAACTTATATTTATCATGAAAATAAGTGCGTTGAACGCCTGAATTGTTTGTCTTTCCGCAAAGATGATGGAGCGAGAAAACTATTCAGCCGTTGCAACACCTACAGACTTGAAACAAGTAACCGAACCTGGGATTTTTTTTATTTGATTTGTTCGTATTTTAAGATAACGACCCCAATATAACCGTTTATAGTGAAACGGATCGTTGACCTCATTCTATAAACGAACGCTATTAAAGCAGAGTAAACATTTAGGCAATAGGTACAATTCAAGCTATTCTTTACGTCTCGTAGATGTTGTCTAGCAGACCACTTTTGTGACAGACTTGTGCCATTGCCTAGGAAAAGGCCGTCTCGTCTTCACTAGAACAAAGGGAGGATATAACAAGATTTTACGTAAAAAGACTTTTATTCTAAGTCAAAGCAGGAAAAGCACAATACGACCCATCAAACGATTCCAGTTTGTTTATCTGGACCCTTAACAATAATACAGCAGAATATGAGACGCCAGAGGTAGCCGACCGTCGAATAGTCGTA